TAAACTCTACACCCTAAACCCGAAAGCCTCAGAATTTCGAGCACCCCTGGGCGCCTCGGGGCCCTCCTTGCAGTCCAGAGCCTCCACGAAGAACCGCACGGCAGCCTCTTTCGTGGCGGCGGAGTTTAAGGCTTTAAAAAAAAAGAGAAAAGAACAGGAGTTTGAGGCTTTTAGGCTTTAGGGTTTAGGGGTGTGTCAGGCAGGGATTAGGGCTTTCTGCCTACAGCTTATGGACTATGTTTTCGGGTTCGACAGTTCAAGGTTCAGAGCTTCGAGCCCACGGTGACTCCAAGAAGCAGAGGACAAAAGCTGAGCTCTTTGAGCCTCTCCAAAATTCCCCCATGTCCTGGCCCATGTCTTGGCTTTGTGCTAGCAAGACTGATGCGAGCTACCATAATAAATATGGGGGGTGTTGCATACTGCAGGATATGACGTCGGCGCAAGACTGCCTCCACTTCGGCCACTTCGATCGTCAGGTGACCGAGAAGCAGGAGACTTTCATCCTCAGCTGCGAGATCTCGGCTGAAGAGCGGGAAGACCAAAACTGCAAAAAAAAACATCTTTAGAATAAAAACCCGCTAAAACAGGAAATCTTATTAAAGCAAGAGATCCTTCCAAGATAACACTATAAGGTCTTGAGCAAGGAAGATGCCCTAAGCTGCATGACGGATCCTGCTGGGGGTCGAAGCACTTGCCCCGAACTCACGACGCAAGGCCCTGACCTGTAAACAACGTCTTCCCTAAACCCTAAACCCGAAACCCTAAACCCGAAACCCTAAACCCTAAACCCGAAACCCTAAAACCTAAACCCGAAACCCGAAACCCTAAGTGAGGGACAGACTGAGGCTTCCTCCTCTTCGGCAAGGGCTTGTTGTCGGGGGTTCGGAGACTCTAGTAGGGCTCTGATTCCCCGATGGTAGTGACCTCCTTCTACTTGGAGGGGCAGGGACCTTAGTAAGTTATAAGTAGAGTTAAAAAGTACCCTAATTGGAGTTACCCCAATTATAGCCCTACTTATAGCCCTACTTACTAAGTTCCCTGCCCCTCTAAGTAGGTGTCCTTTTGCCCGGGAGCCTACGAGGTCGCATCTGTATTACTTGGAGGATCATAGGACTTAGTAAGTATGATTATAGGTACCTTAATTGGGGTTATAAGTACTTATACGTATAGTTACCTTACTACTAACCCTAGTTACTAAGTCCCATGATCCTTCAAGTAGGGCTGTGGCTTCTGTCAAAACGTCATCCGCCGAAGACTCTAAACCATAAGCCAATCGATGAGTTAGCCTAACATTTTGGCTAAGTATACCAAAACCACCAAAAACACTTGCACAACAACGCTTACAGTAAGCCCCCTCTCTGCTCTCTCCCCCTGAAACCATGAAGCCTAAACATACCCCTCAACATTACACATAAGCCCCTTGTCCGCTTGGAAGTATCTCAGAGCCTTGCCGGGGCCTCCGGGAACTCGGTGAGACGACGAGTGCCTCCAAAAAGCTCGGTCCTACAATGGGGGTACTGAGGGTTTAGGGGTTCTTAGGGGTTTTAGGGCTTAGGGGTTTTAGGGTTTAGGGGTCTTAGGGTTTAGGGTGTAGGGTATAGAGCAGGCTACTATGTTGCCAGAAGGCCTTGGATTATCTTTGGAAGGCTTCGGGTTGTGCTTTTCAAGGCTTTTGGCTTTGGAGTTTAGGGTTGGTCTACACTAGGGGCTGCTATACGAAGGTTAGGCTTTAGAGTTTAGGGTTTAGGGTGTGCGTACAGTGGGGGCTACGAAATTACTACGAGGCTTTAGAGTGTAGATGTCAATAAATATACGATAACGTGTAATCAGTAACCAAAGGATTACTGTTGGGGATTGCTATCAGGGTTACTGCATTACCGTATGGGTCTGGGTTTAGGTTATCCTACAACAGGAGCTATCACATTTCCACAAAGGGCTTAGGGTTTAGGGTATCCTACAACAGGAGTTACTATACCAGGGGGTTGTTCCGATAAGCAGCCAGGCCTGCATACCAGTCTGGAGCAACCTTTGGCATCAGCAAGCCTTGCCTGTTCATCATAGGGTATTGGTTTAGGGTTTAAGGTTTAGGCTTTAGGGGTTAGGGCTTAGAGACCCTTAAGGGGGTTTAGGGGGCATTCATGCCCCTAATAAGGACCTAACAAGGCAAGTATAGTCCCCTATCCCCCCTCCCCCTTGTTACCCCCCTAAGGGTCCCTGTGATCTCAACAAGTCAGCACCGCACAGGGGACCCTTAAGCTTTTTCCTATCCTCTGGGTTTAGCGCTTAAGAAAAAAGAACTTAGGGTTTAGAGTCTTGAAGACGAGCATTCTATCCTCTGGGTTTAGAGTTTAAGGTTTAGGGTTTAGGGCTTAGAGTATTTAGGGCTTCAAGGTTTAAGGTTTAGGGTTTGGAGTGTTGGGTTTAGGGCAGGGCAGGGCGAGTGAGGGCCATCGGTGCCGTTGAGGAAAAGCCGGATCCTTGGCAAGGTCCCTCAAAGACCCAGTTCAAAACCTGAACCCCAAACTCTGAACCGTAAACCCTAAACCCCATACTCTGAACCCTAAACCCTAAACCCTAAACCCCATACTCTGAACCCTAAACCCTAAACCGATGAATCTGTTTGCCACGAAGACTTCGGGGTTCAACGGTTTTTAGGGTTTGCTGTAGATTTGGGGGTTTAGAAGAATGGGTCTTTAGGGTTTATGGGTGTAGGGTTGAGGGTTTAGGGACTGATCTTCAGGGTGTGAGGGTTTAGTGTGATTCTCTTTCGGGCGAGAGTGTCATGCGTTCGCCTCTTCGACCTTTGGTGGTTTGATTGTTGGATTTGGGTTGGTGGTGAGCTGCCGGTCATGAGCCATGCATTTCCACAACTACAAAATGGAACAGACATCAGCAGTAGCAGCAGCACCGGTAGCACTAGCCGACGAAGCAGCTCCAGTAGTAGTGGTAGTCGTCGTCGTCGGCGTTGTCGTCGTTGACGTAGTTGTCGTCGTTGACATAGTTGTCGTCGATGTCGCGCTTTCGTCGATGTCATCGCTGGCGTCACCGTAGGCGTCGTGGTCGCAATAGTGGTGGTGGTGGTGCGGAAGACAGAGTTGAGCGGGAGAGGGAGTGAGGCAAGAATAGGGGCCGTAGTCGTAGTCATAATCATCATCGAATCCCCCTAGTAGTAGCAATAATGATCAAAGCAACAGTCTGGCACGGAAGCTTAGGGCCAAACACGAGCTTGCCCATGACGTTTTCGACCATCTGCAGTGCCTGGACACTAAGCTTTGGGCTTCTGGGTTGTACGTAGGAACTCCGCCTGCGAAATGAAAATATCGAGCCAGCCCGGATACAGAGAAGGTTTTCGAGACTATCGCGAAACCTATGATGATACGTCCGTCCGACAAGCAAGAGGGTGGCTGAGATGCAACAAATACTTACTGAGATACAGAAACTTTCAAAAGAGGAGCGACCACGAATGTCCGAGGCTTACTATATCTTCATTCTTGTTCCAGAAAGCGCCGGTCTTTGCACCTCGAACAGCCATCAGGCAGGTCCTGCGCAGTTGCCTTTCTTCTCACCGGCCCCGCTACAAAAGCTGCGATCCGCCACAATTAGTAAAGGGGGACTTGGGGGTTCTTGCATGATATATGATAACCAGAATAGGACTCCCTAAGTAATTGTGCTGAATATTGCGAACTGTCAGGATCCGGCTTCTTCCTTCCATCGCAGCCCATGAAACAATGACAGATGCATAAACAGAAAACCAGAGGTCAGAACAATTCCCAACATTATCCTCGTATAGTTCGTATAGTTTACCTCAAACCCTAGACGCTGAACCTTCAAGGCCAACCAAACATTTTGGCAGGATTTGTGGCAGACGCAAGCGACCCGCAGAGAACGGAGAGTGTCGGAGAGAATTCACTAAGTTCAATTTTCCTTCGCCCAGGGCCAAATTTCGATCGTTACGATGCTTCCTGTTGTTGCAATCGCTACTATTCCCCCGAATTCCTGGCTGAGACGGGGACGCTGGCCATGACTCCCATTCCCTTGGGCTTCGCGGGAGAAGAGCTAGTCCAAGAACGGAAACCTCCTGAAGCTGCTTTCTCGAAAAGCCTGGTTGCAGTCTCTGTCTAATTAAGGCCCCTATACCATAGATCCCTACTAGAGATCCCTTATAGACCCCTTTAAGGACTGGTGAAGAATACAAGTGTTCATCTCTGTGCTGGGAGCCCACAGGCCAGAGCAGGAGCGGCAACGGGTGATGATAAAAATCCCTGCATTACCCATACTAGGTTGGCCCTTTAAAGCCTCTGAAAAATATTCGTAAATAGGGTCCTATTAAGCCCAATAAGGGGAAATATAAACTGTCCCAAAGGCCTACCTAGCATAATAAGGAATATACCATAATTCCCATCATTTAGGGTCCTTAAGGTAATGCAGGATTTATATCATCAACAGCAAGCACAACACAGAATGCAAAGTCGGTGTGATCATAATCTCGCAGTCACGCTCTCATGTCAATAAGACCAGCTACAGCACCTGCACTGAAACTGGCGGCAGCAATGGGCTCTTCAATAAGCAGAATAACGCCTGGGTAAGATTCTATACAATGGCATAGATATGTGGGCAGTTGCCAAAAGTAGGGCCGCTTTTTGGGTCCTGAATATAATACGGCACCTAGTATTTAAGGTACCCGACAGGGGACCCTAATTTTGACAACCACCCATATGGGCCCGGGACTATATGAGCGATCCCCAGGCATGATACCATTTTTTCTCCTCGCGGACGATGATGGCCCAAGACGTGCCGCCTGTCCGTGCGCAGGGAGCTGTTCGGGTGCTAGCGGGCTCCAGACTTGTGCAAGAAATGCCCGCAGACTTATTGCTCCAGAAGTCCCGCACTTCCCATGTCTGGGGACCTGTGCAAGTCCGAGTTGTCGATGCCATGTTCGTGAAGAGGTTCGCACAAGTCGGTTCTTGAGGAGCACCCTGTGTGTGACGCTCTTCCCGTACCTAGAAGCCAGGCGCTACCATCACGGTGTCTCCTTGCACCGTCTTCGTGCGATAGCCATGCGCAAAAGCCTTTGCCTCGACACACTTGCCGCTGTCTCCGAAAGCTGTTTCGATATGAAGGATCTGTGGACGGTAGTCAGTAAACAAGGATCCACCTCCGGCCAGCACTTGACATTCGTGGACCTCGACGTCCATCTTCACCACGTCCACGGATCTTGGAGACACCTCCGAGAGAACCATATCCAAAGTCTTCACTGGCACTACTTCACAGTTGGCGTCGCCGGCTTCGCATGTTAGTCCAGAACCGCACGACAAGGCCCCATTCCCGATGTTTATCTTCCTGCTGGTGCTTTTGATGACACAGGTGGTTGAACTGAGCTCCTCAGGAGACACCAGTGCAACGGGCACAATCTTCACACGCGATCGCAGCTCTGGGTTGAGACAAAGGCTGCCCTCGATGGCTTTGCGGTTCCGTGTCATTGCCTCCACTGCTACTACATCAAAGCCTGCTTTCGCGAAGAGCAAACTGTAGTAGCCGAGGTTGGCGCCGATGTCTAGGAAGGTGCCTGATGCTGGGAGCACAGCGTCAGCTTTGGCAGCCATGGCACTTGGCTTTCTCATTTCCCAGTAATGTTGGTGGTATATGGATGAAGAAACGATGTCGTTGTCCCCCAAGACCACCATATCGAATCCCGAAGACACATGTGCTTTCCGCATGCCATCCGGCACACAATTCGCCGGCAAGGTCTCTGCAGGAGCCAGGCCAGCAGCAGGGCTAACAACGCTGCCGCCAGTGTCAGATGCCACCATTACAGTGTCTCCTTGGACGGTTTTGGTGCGGTAGCCGTGCGCAGAAGCCTTGGCCTGAACACACTTGCCGCTGTCTCCGAAAGCTGTTTCGATATGCAGGATCTGTGGACGGTAGTCAGTAAACAAGGATCCACCTCCGGCCAGCACTTGACATTCGTGGACCTCGACGTCCATCTTCACCACGTCCACGGATCTTGGAGACACCTCTGAGAGAACCATATCCAAAGTCTTCACTGGCACTACCTCACAGTTGGCGTCGCCGGCTTCGCATGTTAGTCCAGAACCGCACGACAAGGCCCCATTCCCGATGTTTATCTTCCTGCTGGTGCTTTTGATGACACAGGTGGTTGAACTGAGCTCCTCCGGAGACACCAGCGCAACGGGCACAATCTTCACACGCGATCGCAGCTCTGGGTTGAGACAAAGGCTGCCCTCGATGGCTTTGCGGTTCCGTGTCATTGCCTCCACTGCTACTACATCAAAGCCCGCTTTCGCGAAGAGCAAACTGTAGTAGCCGAGGTTGGCGCCGATGTCTAGGAAGGTGCCTGACGCTGGGAGCACAGCGTCAGCTTTGGAAGCCATGCCGCTTGGCGATCGCATTTCCCAGAAATGTTGGTGGTAAATGGATGAAGAAACGATGTCGTTGTCCCCCAAGACCACCATATCGAATCCAGAAGACACATGTGCTTTCCGCATGCCCTCCGGCACACAATTCGCCGACACGGTCTCTGCAGGAGCCAGGCCAGCAGCAGGGCTACCAACGCTGCCGCCAGTGTCAGATGCCACCATTACGGTGTCTCCTTGAACGGTTTTAGTGCGGTAGCCGTGCGCAGAAGCCTTTGCCTGAACACACTTGCCGCTGTCTCCGAAAGCTGTTTCGATATGCAGGATCTGTGGACGGTAATCAGTAAACAAGGATCCACCTCCGGCCAGCACTTGACATTCGTGGACCTCGACGTCCATCTTCACCACGTCCACGGATCTTGGAGACACCTCTGAGAGAACCATATCCAAAGTCTTCACTGGCACTACCTCACAGTTGGCGTCGCCGGCTTCGCATGTAAGTCCAGAACCGCACGACAAGGCCCCATTCCCGATGTTTATCTTCCTGCTGGTGCTTTTGATGACACAGGTGGTTGAACTGAGCTCCTCCGGAGACACCAGCGCAACGGGCACAATCTTCACACGCGATCGCAGCTCTGGGTTGAGACAAAGGCTGCCCTCGATGGCTTTGCGGTTCCGTGTCATTGCCTCCACTGCTACTACATCAAAGCCCGCTTTCGCGAAGAGCAAACTGTAGTAGCCGAGGTTGGCGCCGATGTCTAGGAAGGTGCCTGACGCTGGGAGCACAGCGTCAGCTTTGGAAGCCATGCCGCTTGGCGATCGCATTTCCCAGAAATGTTGGTGGTAAATGGATGAAGAAACGATGTCGTTGTCCCCCAAGACCACCATATCGAATCCAGAAGACACATGTGCTTTCCGCATGCCATCCGGCACACAATTCGCCGACACGGTCTCTGCAGGAGCCAGGCCAGCAGCAGGGCTACCAACGCTGCCGCCAGTGTCAGATGCCACCATTACGGTGTCTCCTTGGACGGTTTTAGTGCGGTAGCCGTGCGCAGAAGCCTTTGCCTGAACACACTTGCCGCTGTCTCCGAAAGCTGTTTCGATATGAAGGATCTGCGGACGGTAGTCAGTAAACAAGGATCCACCTCCGGCCAGCACTTGACATTCGTGGACCTCGACGTCCATCTTCACCACGTCCACGGATCTTGGAGACACCTCTGAGAGAACCATATCCAAAGTCTTCACTGGCACTACCTCACAGTTGGCGTCGCCGGCTTCGCATGTAAGTCCAGAACCGCACGACAAGGCCCCATTCCCGATGTTTATCTTCCTGCTGGTGCTTTTGATGACACAGGTGGTTGAACTGAGCTCCTCCGGAGACACCAGCGCAACGGGCACAATCTTCACACGCGATCGCAGCTCTGGGTTGAGACAAAGGCTGCCCTCGATGGCTTTGCGGTTCCGTGTCATTGCCTCCACTGCTACTACATCAAAGCCCGCTTTCGCGAAGAGCAAACTGTAGTAGCCGAGGTTGGCGCCGATGTCTAGGAAGGTGCCTGACGCTGGGAGCACAGCGTCAGCTTTGGAAGCCATGCCGCTTGGCGATCGCATTTCCCAGAAATGTTGGTGGTAAATGGATGAAGAAACGATGTCGTTGTCCCCCAAGACCACCATATCGAATCCAGAAGACACATGTGCTTTCCGCATGCCATCCGGCACACAATTCGCCGACACGGTCTCTGCAGGAGCCAGGCCAGCAGCAGGGCTACCAACGCTGCCGCCAGTGTCAGATGCCACCATTACGGTGTCTCCTTGAACGGTTTTAGTGCGGTAGCCGTGCGCAGAAGCCTTGGCCTGAACACACTTGCCGCTGTCTCCGAAAGCTGTTTCGATATGCAGGATCTGTGGACGGTGATCAGTAAACAAGGATCCACCTCCGGCCAGCACTTGACATTCGTGGACCTCGACGTCCATCTTCACCACGTCCACGGATCTTGGAGACACCTCCGAGAGAACCATATCCAAAGTCTTCACTGGCACTACCTCACAGTTGGCGTCGCCGGCTTCGCATGTTAGTCCAGAACCGCACGACAAGGCCCCATTCCCGATGTTTATCTTCCTGCTGGTGCTTTTGATGACACAGGTGGTTGAACTGAGCTCCTCCGGAGACACCAGCGCAACGGGCACAATCTTCACACGCGATCGCAGCTCTGGGTTGAGACAAAGGCTGCCCTCGATGGCTTTGCGGTTCCGTGTCATTGCCTCCACTGCTACTACATCAAAGCCTGCTTTCGCGAAGAGCAAACTGTAGTAGCCGAGGTTGGCGCCGATGTCTAGGAAGGTTCCTGATGCTGGGAGCACAGCGTCAGCTTTGGACGCTATGCTGCTTGGCTGCTTAATCTCCCAAAAACGTTGGTGGTAGATTGATGAGGAAACGATGTCGTTGTCCCCCAAGACCACCATATCGAAGCCAGCAGAAACGCGAGCTTTGCGCATGCCGTTTGGCACACAGCTTGTCCGCGCGATTTCGGCTGCAGCCACACCATCAGCAGGGCCGCTTCCGCCAGAGTCAGATGCCACCATTACGGTGTCTCCTTGGACGGTTTTGGTGCGGTAGCCGTGCGCAGAAGCCTTTGCCTGAACACACTTGCCGCTGTCTCCGAAAGCTGTTTCGATATGAAGGATCTGTGGACGGTAGTCAGTAAACAAGGATCCACCTCCGGCCAGCACTTGACATTCGTGGACCTCGACGTCCATCTTCACCACGTCCACGGATCTTGGAGACACCTCTGAGAGAACCATATCCAAAGTCTTCACTGGCACTACTTCACAGTTGGCGTCGCCGGCTTCGCATGTGAGTCCAGAACCGCACGACAAGGCCCCATTCCCGATGTTTATCTTCCTGCTGGTGCTTTTGATGACACAGGTGGTTGAACTGAGCTCCTCCGGAGACACCAGCGCAACGGGCACAATCTTCACACGCGATCGCAGCTCTGGGTTGAGACAAAGGCTGCCCTCGATGGCTTTGCGGTTCCGTGTCATTGCCTCCACTGCTACTACATCAAAGCCTGCAGTCGCAAAGAGCAAACTGTAGTAGCCGAGGTTGGCACCGACATCCAGGAAGGTGCCTGACCTAGGAAGCACTGCGTCAGCTTTGGCAGCCATGGCACTCGGCTTTCTCATTTCCCAGTAATGGTGGTGGTAAATGGATGCAGAAACGATGTCGTTGTCCCCCAAGACCACCATGTCGAAGCCGGCAGCAACCTGTGCTCTGCGCATGCCATCCGGCACGCAAGCCTCTTCCGTCCTGGTGCCTGCCGAGACATGCACGGAACTACTATATGCTTAAGAACCCCACCAAAAAATAAAAAAAATAATAATCCCTATATTATCCCTATAAGGAATACATTTTCATTTTTTGGGGGTTCTTAAGCAAATAGTAGGGAATTACACGATCATCGACACAGATGGGCTGTTGGGGCGCGGGGCAAGATTCTACCTGGCAACGTGCATAAGGAGTGTGTGCAAACCAAAGGATCTAGCGACTAGCATGAAACACGAGCTGTGCGGACAGTCAGATGCTGCGACCTCAAGTACCCGATTTCTTCCAGCCTCTATGAAAGCTTTGGCAACGAAACCCTGCATAAATCGGTCAGGATGCCATCTTGTCCGAAGGCCCGGGAAAGCAAGACCTCTGGATTGCTGCAACCATTGGCCCAAGACCTCGACTCAACAAGCTTGTCGAGGTGGACTTGAAGCTGACATGATCTGCGAATAAAAGGAATAAGGAACAAAATCAAGCTCATCACCGTCGACGGCTACCATTGTCGTCGCCATCATTAGTAGCAGCAGTGAGGAAGAGTCCGCGAACAGAGAATTGCAGGGTATTCCAAAACGTGCCTGGGACACAAACCTTCGCCTGCAGCAAGTTTCATTCTGCAACAACGATTTCGCTGAGAGGTCGCAGACTGCAGTGACATTGATGCAGGCAATGTTCTGCATGCTCTGACAGCTGCGATTCCAGTCTGACGGGCGATTGAGTGGATGCTTGAATAAAGCCACGACGGTGACACGACAGTTCGTACGCACAAAAATCACTATCATTTTGCTGATTGAAACTCTTGGTTGTCGTCGCGGCTTCGAGTTCTTCTGGCATGCCCAGAAAATATTGACCCAGGATGCAACTCACGCGACAGACCAAAGCTCTACAACAAACACCCTACCTAAACTCAACACTCTACACTCTAAATACGTAAACTCTAAGCCAAAACTCCAAACTATCAAACCCTAAACCCGAAATCGTAAGTCTGAATTAAGCCCGACACCGTAAATCAACCTTCACAGCGGACTCTTCGGCTTCTCTTGGCTGGCCCAGAGAGAAAGCTCGGAGACTGATTGCAGGCCTTTCGCAGTTTAGTAAAGAGCCCAAAACCTCCGTAAAAGAAGAGTCAAGGGTTTAGGGTTTAGGGCTTAGGGTAAAATGCCTCGAAAATGTAGAGGGCTCCTGATGTTGCAGGAAAGATTCACAACAAAAATACTAGTATGTGGTCGGAAGCCTTCCTTGTGTGTCGCCGACATCAACTCGCACTGACATCCACACGTGCGCATACACAGAATCCATATGTCCATAGATTGTCGCCCAAGCTTCATGATGCTTGTCACTCAGATTTGAATTTTACTTGCAAAAACTGTTGTCCCATTAAGATCGCGCATAGCACTGTTCGAGGTGTGCGTTCTAGTTCCATTCAGTCTGCGGCTCACACGTGCAAGTTTTCATGTTTGCATCCATGCATCTATTCCTTCCGAACCACCCTGCCCTCAGCCCCCAACCCCAACATCCGAAACCTCAAACCCTACCAATCCCTACACTCTCAACCCAAAGTCCGTCTCTGTCAAGCTCCGAAGCCCGCACCGGACAAAACAGAAACTCCCTAAACCCTAACCCCGAAACCCTGAACCCGAAACGAACCTCCAAACCCTAAACCCTAATCCGTAATCCGAGGAACAGCCCTTCGCAACTTCGACTCAGGAGGTTCCACCCGAAGTGGAGACCTCGGCTTTATGCGGAAACCACAGGTGGTTCTTAGTAGGGAATGGGGGAATGGGCTACTGGGACTACTAGAAGGGACCTAAAGGGACTATCATAGGGATCCATTCCCCGTTCCCTACTGAGAACCAGACAGACTTTGATGACCTGATTGGGCTTTTGGGGTACGTTGCAGTATACTTCGCCTGCTCTAGCTTCAATGGTTTAACCCTGGCTATCTTACGGATCCTACGGTTCCGCAGCTCAGGAAGTGGGGCTTAAGGTTTAGGGCGGCTTGGGATTGAAAGCTCCAGAACCCTGACCCTAGACCGCCTTGGGGTTCGAGTTGCGGACTCCCTAAGCCCCATCCATACCTTGGAAGCTGCCCCCACCCTGTAATAGTGACTATAAGGATTATATCAGGGCCCTAATATATTCCTATTATACCACTATTACATGGTGGGGGCCCCTTCTAACCCATACCCGAAGTTTAGGGCGAGGGCTTTCGGGCTGCCGATGGCGAGCTCTCGAGGCCTCGCCGCTCGGGTCGAGTCGGATGTGCAGTACGTGAGTACGTGCAGATACAACCGAGATCGCCCCCCATTTGCACCTAAGAACCTAAAAGCCCTCCAAAACAAGAGGAGCACTATCTGAGATCGTCTGGGGCAGCTCTGTAACTGGAAACCATGTAAGGACCCCAAACTGCATGCAAGGCACTGACGGCCAGCAGAAATGCCAGAAGACAGACGTTCCTGCCTGACAAGTACACACTGCGGGTTCTGAAGTGTCGGTCACGGTGGCATCACTGCGTCGCTAGAATGTGCCGCAAGGCGCGAGGCTCGATGCTTCAAAACAGAGTAAAGACGGCGCCGTCAACAAACGCGCCCCTGAAGCTGGCATATACGCATCACAAAGAACACCGCAACCCCAACAACTGTCTGGTTCCTAGGTAGGAAATGGGGGAATGGATGATGGAGACTATTATTGACTAAACCACTCCCGCCTCTCCCATGCATCCAGAAGGTTTTTCCCGCCAGAGCAGCAGCCCACATCGGCCGGCGTCCACTCTTCCCCGGTCAGTGAGGCTTGAAGGCTTCTTGGGCTGATCTGGAACCTTTGGGGGTTTGCAGCCTTCCAAACCCAAGGTTTTAAACTCCGAAACTACGTATTGATACTAAGCTGCTGCTACTACTACTACTACTACTACTACTACTGCTACTGCTACTGCTACTGCTACTGCTACTGCTGTGATTCGGATGATTACTGGTTGTTTGTTTTGCGGGTCTGTAATGTGTCGCCGGAAACTTCCTCTCACAGCCTCGGTCCACCTTCCGGCTCAATATCGCGGGCGAAACGACTGGTTTTAGGGTTTAGGGTTGAGAGTTTAGGGTTTAGGGGTTAGGGTTTATGACTGCTTACCAATGTAGTCCTTTGCAAGAGTCACGGTTGCTAGTTGAGTTCTGGATGTCAAGTCTGCCATGTTGGGCATCCATGCTCTGCTCTAGCTCCACTGACTGTGAGAGCAAAAGGCATCCCGGGCATACAGATTACTCAGAATCCCCCTAAACCCTAAACCCCTCAACCCCTAAACCCTAAACCCTAAACCCTAAAGCCCGAAACCTCCTTGGTGCGTGGACTTCCGATCTGGCTGCAAGCCAATGACTTTGAAAAGCGTTCAGCTAGAGTCCTTGCTGCTCGTACCCTAAATGGAGTTACCCCAATTATAACCCTACTTATAACCTCCTTACTAAGTCCATGCCTCTCCAAGTACTGACTAAAGTCCCCCCTTGTAATATGACTACCAGTGCGGCTCAGCATGACTGCTGAAGTTGGCTGCTATTCCGGTGATGTCCTTTCCCTTCTGGCGCTGTGGTTCACAAGACCCCCTGCACAACACGGATCAGCACCTTCTAGCCTGACGTGTCGCTCGACTGCCGAACATGCGTCGCAATGCCTTGCCACCTGGCACTATTATTATTATCATTATTAATATAGTTATTATTATTAGTAGTATTACTATTATTATTGATATTGTTATTATCACGATTATTATTACTACTATTATTATTATCACTACTATTATTGCTAAGTCTATTATTTTTATCACGATTATAGGAGCAGTAGGGACTTGGGGGAGCGGGGACTTCAGCAGCGCCGCCTCTGGTGGATTGCTGGGCTATGACACAACTTCTCTAAACGAAGGTTTGGGGTTCCTTTTAAAGGGGTCGTTTAAGGGTTACCATAAAGGGAACTCCAGAAAGTTGGAATATGGTTTCAGGGTAGGATACCCTAAAATTTACCATAGAAGGGTTTAGGATAATCATATTCCAACTTTCTGGCTTTTACGTTATTGCTGGCTGGAATAGAACGTAAGCAGCAGCTTTCTGTCAACACACCTCCCATACACGCTCTCTACATCCTTGGCGGTGAGAACATGTGACTGCTGGCTCTGAGTTCAGCTTCGGGGGTGATATCATAGAAGCCCAAGATATCTCAAGACGCAACACCAAACAATCCAAGCTGAGAGAAATCGCGACGAATTGAAACGTCATGCAGTCATGACTGTACAGTATATCAGCATATGTGGTATAGTATGGCCATACGATTTCATGCAGTCTGCCATCAGCTAGTCTTCACCAAGGTTTGATGGTACCGGACTGAGATGATCTAAAATCCAAGGGACATCCTGTTGAGCACATCGCGCCGAAACGGGGAAAGCGAAGTTCATGTCCATCGCATTGCCATGGGTGAAACTGCCTGAGCTCCTACTCGGCATGTCTTCGCCAAGGAGTGCCCGTGTGGCGGTGCTTTGGTTCCGGAATAAAGCTTGCTCTCGTATGCTAGTCCGGTCAGCTTGACATGTGCGGTCGGGCTCTTTTGACTATCACGAACACCTGGCCCAAGCCTTCCGCAAGCGAAGCAAATCGATCTGCCAACGGCCAGTACCCAAGAGCTGCCGGAAACTCCGGCGGGATGTGCAAATCAAGCCTCAGAACTGTGCATTTGGATTTCAAGGGGCATGTATAGAAAAGCTGTAGAATGCTGTCAAATAAATCTATTCATCGCAGTCAAGTCAGAGTGGCAGTGGCTTCGACAGTCCTAGATTTCTGGCTGCTCTAACAACAGGAATACCCAGACCGAACGTCGTGAACAGCAGCCTCGTCATCACTATCAACATCTTCATCAGCGGCAGCAGCAACAACAACAACAGCAACGACAACAACATGGTCATCTTCCTCAAAGGCATCATCAGCATCTGCTTTGCCATCGTCATCAGCATGACAGACTATGCCTTTTCTCTTCTGTCGCCCTCGGTTCCCATGCTGTCAATCCGTCACTCTGGCATTTCACTAGCCGGCAGTAGTCTGCACCGTAAGAGCAGCCTGCTTCGATCCTGGCCAAGAAGCCCAGGCAAAATCGGGGACTAAACCCACACCTAAACTCCAAAACCTGAAAATCCAAAATCACCAGACCCTAGGCCTTCGACCCCAAACCCAAACCTAAACCCCACAACCTCATGGCCATAAATCTAGGACATGAGTTCTGGGGCCAGCACTTACCTTACACCTTATGTTCTGCAATCACCTATGCTCTGCAATCATGACGAACACTGAACACACAAACACACTCACTCTGATAAGTCTTCCACCAGCTAGGCCGTAACCCTTGAAACCCTCGCTTCGAGCTGCCTGCACCGCAAATCCCAGGCACCATAAGGGTCTGGAATTAGTTTGGGAATTTTCTTTTTTTTTTTTGGTAATTTTTTTTTTTTGTGGTTTGCTTGGCCGGATCCCTGTGAAGGGTTCATCGGGGACATAGAAAATTTGCACGGCGCCACAGCGCCAGCGCTTCGACACGCAGGATCCCTGTGGAGGGTTCATCGGGGACGTAGAAAATTTGCACCGCACCACAGCGCCAGCGCTTCGACACGCAGGATCCCTGTGAAGGGTACATCGGGGACATACAAAATTTGCGCCGCGCCACAGCGCCAGCGCTTCGACACGCAGGATCCCTGTGGAGGGTTCATCGGGGACGTAGAAAATTTGCACCGCACCACAGCGCTCGACACGCAGGATCCTTGTGGAAGCTTCATCGGGGACGTTGAAAATTTGCACCGCGCCACAGCGCCGGCGCTTCGACACGCAGTATCCCTGTGGAGGGTTCATCGGGGACCTCCCCCCTTTGCAAACCTTTTAAAACCCCTTCACGATTGATTGTGTTTTCTTCGCATCAAACCACCCTGACGCGTTGTTGTCTGGACTTCTCCTTCTTGTGTTTTGGCGAATACGTTTTTGTGCATCTTTCGTGCCTTTAGTGAGCGGGGAGTTTAGTCTAAAAAAGCGGGGGGGTTGGGGGGGGGCGCAGCCCCCCCCATTTGCAAACCTTTTAAACCCTTCACGATTGATTGTGTTTACTTCGCATTAAACCACCCTGACGGTTTGTTGTATTTACAAACCCTTTAAACCCTTCACGACTGACTGTGTTTTCTTCGCATTAAACCACCCTGACGCGTTGTTGTCTGGCTTTCTCCTTCTTCTGTGTTGGCGAATACGTTTTTGTGCATCTCTTCGTGCCAGTGAGCGGGAGTTTAGCAAAAAAAAAAGCGGGGGGGCTTGGGGGGGCGCAGCCTGCAAACCTTTTGAACCCTTCACGATTGATTGTGTTTACTTCGCATTAAACCACCCTGACGCGTTCTTGTCTGGCTTTCTTCTTCTTGTGTTTTGGCGAATACGTTTTTGTGCATTTCTTCGCGGCTTTTTAGTGAGCGGGGAGTTTAGCCTAAACAAAGCGGGGGGGTTGGGGGGGGCGCAGCCACCCCCCCAGTTGCAAACCTTTTAAATCCTTCACGATTGATTGTGTTTTCCTCGCATCAAACCACCCTGACGCGTTGTTGTCTGGACTTCTTCTTCTTCTTGTGTTTTGGCGAATACGTTTTTGTGCATCTCTTCGTGCCTTTAGTGAGCGGGGAGTTTAGTCTAAAAGAAGCGGGGGGGTTGGGGGGGGCGCAGCCCCCCCCATTTGCAAACCTTTTGAACCCTTCACGATTGATTGTGTTTACTTCGCATTAAACCACCCTGACGCTTTGTTGTATTTACAAACCCTTTCAACCCTTCACGACTGATTGTGTTTTCTTCGCATTAATCCACCCTGACGCGTTGTTGTCTGGCTTTCTCCTTCTACTGTGTTGGCGAATACGTTTTTGTGCATCTCTTCGTGCTAGTGAGCGGGGAGTTTAGTCTAAAAAAAGCGGGGGGTTGGGGGGGGCGCAGCCTGCAAACCTTTTAAACCCTTCACGATTGATTGTGTTTACTTCGCATTAAACCACCCTGACGCGTTGTTGTCTGGCTTTCTTCTTCTTGTGCTTTGGCGAATACGTTTTTGTGCATCTCTTCGCGGCTTTTTAGTGAGCGGGAAGTTTAGCCTAAAAAAAGCGGGGGGGTTGGCTCCCCCCATTTGCAAACCTTTTAAACCCTTCACGATTGATTGTGTTTACAAACCACCCTTTCAACCCTTCACGACTGATTGTGTTTTCTTCGCATTAAACCACCCTGACGCGTTGTTGTCTGGCTTTCTCCTTCTTCTGTGTTGGCGAATACGTTTTTGTGCATCTCTTCGTGCCAGTGAGCGGGGAGTTTAGCCAAAAAAAAGCGGGGGGGCTTGGGGGGGCGCAGCCTGCAAACCTTTTAAACCCTTCACGATTGATTGTGTTTACTTCGCATTAAACCACCCTGACGCGTTGTTGTCTGGCTTTCTTCTTCTTGTGCTTTGGCGAATACGTTTTTGTGCATCTCTTCGCGGCTTTTTATGAGCGGGGAGTTTAGCCTAAACAAAGCGGGGGGGTTGGGGGGGCGCAGCCACCCCCCCAGTTGCAAACCTTTTAAATCCTTCACGATTGATTGTGTTTTCCTCGCATCAAACCACCCTGACGCGTTGTTGTCTGGACTTCTTCTTCTTCTTGTGTTTTGGCGAATACGTTTTTGTGCATCTCTTCGTGCCTTTAGTGAGCGGGGAGTTTAGTCTAAAAAAAGCGGGGGGGTTGGGGGGGGCGCAGCCCCCCCCCATTTGCAAACCTTTTAAACCCTTCACGATTGATTGTGTTTACTTCGCATTAAACCACCCTGACGCTTTGTTGTATTTACAAACCCTTTCAACCCTTCACGACTGATTGTGTTTTCTTCGCATTAATCCACCCTGACGCGTTGTTGTCTGGCTTTCTCATTCTTCTGTGTTGGCGAATACGTTTTTGTGCATCTCTTCGTGCCAGTGAGCGGGGAGTTTAGTCTAAAAAAAAGTGGGGGGGCTGGGGGGGCGCAGCCTGCAAACCTTTTAAACCCTTCACGATTGATTGTGTTTACTTCGCATTAATCCACCCTGACGCGTTGTTGTCTGGCTTTCTTCTTCTTGTGCTTTGGCGAATGTATTCCTTGTCTGCGTTCTTGTTGCTGTTACGGGACCGAGGGACCGGCGGACCGGAGACCACGGGACCAGGAGACCACGGGACCAGAGGACCAGCAGACCAGAGGACCAGGGGACCACAGGACCAGAAGAGCAGACGACCAAGGGACCGCAGGACCAAGGACTAGAGGACCATATATTATAATATAATATAATATAATATAATATAATATATTATAATATAATATTATAGAATATGATATGATATAATATAATATAACATAACATAATATAACATAACATAATATAATATAATATAATATAATATAGTATAATATAAAATAATATAATATAATATAATATAATAGAATATAACATAATATAATATAAAAGAATATAATAAAATATAATATAATATAATATAGTATAATATAAAATAATATAATATAATATGATATGATATAATAGAATATAATATAACATAATATAATATGATATGATATAATATGATATGATATGATATGATATGATATAATATAATATAATATATATAATAATAAAATATAATATAATATGATATAATATAATATAATATAATATAATATATCAAAATATAATATGATATAATATAATATAATATAATATAAAATAATACAACATGATATGATATAATATAATGCAATATGATATAATATAATATCATATGATATTATATAATATAATATAATATAGTATAATATAATATTATATAATCATATCATATTATATCATATCATATTATATTATGTTATATTATATTATATTGTATTATATTAGCCAAGAAGCCAGAAGCCAAGAAGCCAAGGAAACCGAGAAGCCGAAAGCCAAGACGCCAAGGAATCCAAGAAGAAGAGAACAAAAGCCCGTACGACATAAGGAGGCAGTATGCTCGAAGCTAGACAGTATAAGAAGTTGCGAGGTGAAAAAGCCAAGAAGCCAAGAAGCCAGAAGCCAAGAAGGCAGGGAAGCTGAGAAGCCAAAAGCCAAGAAGCCAGGGAATCCAAGAAGCCAGAAGCCAAGAAGCCAAGCGCGCACACAAGCCAAAAAAAAAAAAATCAAAAAAAATCCCAAAAATAAATACGCCTCCCCATAAATAAAGGTGGTGGCAAGGGGGGAGTATCAAAGTTAGCATTCATAGCTTCATTGCACCTGCTGTCCCTGGTTCTCAACACAAGTTCATAAGTATTCTCGCTATCACCAGCTCCTGTACTGCCAGTCCCGTCAGCACTGTTCCGAGCAGTAGCAGTCGACTGTTGGTTCGACTCTAGTACTTACGATCCTGATGATGCTTGTGATGGCGACATTCATTGCGACGGCGATTGCCAAGATCTTCGTTCCTACTTATACCAAATTCACTGGGGATCACAGTTTTCACTCACTATTGGCCGTGCTGCTGTTGTCATGATTCTAGCTTGGGATTGCGAGCACGCCTGTTGTTGCAACCCGCCTTGGGGAAGATCTAACCCACGAGAATATCCCAATCCTACATGCCTACTTTTCTCGTGAGACATGTACCCGACTAAAACCCTAAACCCTAAAACCCTAAAACCGAAAACCCAATCAGGTTGCACCTCCGTTCCCTCCTTGAACCAATCCTTCATCACCGTGAAGGCAAGAACCTGTTTCTGGGTTGTAGTTTCGGTGCTTATGAGCAGTTTTGGAGCTCTTAGGGTTTAGGCTTTCGGGTTTAGGGGTTTAGGGGCTCGTAAAAGTACTTATGAATAGGTACCTCTACAGGAAACACAAGGGAAATTGTGAAGCTTCCCAAAGTGCCACCTAGTCATAGTCTGCAGGTTTATGATTTAGGTTTGAGGCTAAGACACGTGCCAGACGAGGAGCCACGAGACTGGCGCTGAGTTCCTAAGGTTCGGAAGAGTAAGTAGCTCCTCACTGAAGCGTAGCAGCAACACTGAGCAGGGTCATTGGCAGCCCAGCAGCCGAAAGGGTCGAAAGATAGAGAGGTGTCACGAGTGGGGTTTTTCGAACTCGAATCTTTGAGAGTTTGAACGTAGTACATGTTGGACGGGGTTCGAGACTTTGAAAGTTTGAAAAGTTTGGAGAATGAAGAGTTTGAAGTTTGAAAGTTTGAGAGTTTCGAGTTCGAAAGCGGGCGCGAGTTTGGAGTTTGAAAATTTGAAACCCAGGAAGTTTGAAAGTTTGAAGCTTCGAAGATTGAAAGTTCGAAAGTTTGAAAAGGAGAAGGACCGCTGGAGACGCGTAGGGGTTCACAGAGCAGCCCTCAGGCTCGAGTTCGAAAGTTTGAGAGCTTGGAGTTTGAAAGTTTGAAACCCAGGAAGTTTGAAAGTTTCAATGTTCGAAAGCTTCGAAGATTGAAATTTCCAAAATTTCAAACTTTGGGGGGTTGCAGGCTTGAAGTTTTGAAATTTCGACAGTTGAAAGTTTGAGAGCCGTGGAGTTCGAAAGTTTGAGATGTTCAAAGTTTGAGAGTTTGGGAGTTTGAAGGTTTGTAAGTTTGAAGAGTTTGAAGTTTGAATACATTGAAAGTTTGATTTTGAAACCATGTTGACGTCCTCATTTTAGGCTCTGGGCCCGGTAACTCCGAGTCCGATTCAATAGCCCGGGACCCCCCTGGGCGACAGGTAGTCCTGGATTTAGGAAGAGTATGAAGGTGGGGAGGGGTTGTAGTTCTGGATTTAGGAAGACCATGGGGGGGCGGGGGGGGGGCCGGGCTTGGAGTCTTCGGGGAACCCCACCGCTCTGTTTAGACTGCAAACGCCCCGCTCTGTTAAGCCGAGAAAAACTTAATGAAAGCGTCTCCCACTTCATACTTCACCAAAAACCAAGATTACGGGCCCCCCCAACCTCATACTTCGTCCAAATCCAAGACTTCGAGCCTCCCCCTTCCCCTTACAGTCTTCCTACAACCAAGATGTTAAGCCCCCCTTTCTCCAACACAGGCAAAGGAGAAAGCAACACGAGAACACTTCAGGGGTTTAAACGCGAAGAATTAAAATTCATCATGAGTGATTAAGAAGCTGTGCAAATGGGGGTGCTCTCTTAAGATCCCCCTCCCCTGATACGTCGTCCAAATCTAAGACGTCGAGGCGTCCCCTTACAGTCTTCCTCAATCCATGACTTTAAGCCCCACCTTTCTCCAGCACACACAAAGGAGAAAGCAACACAAAAATGCTTCAGGGGGCTAAACGCGAAGAACAAAACTTAAGCATGAATGATTTGGAAGCTCTGAAAGGGGGGGGGGCTGCGCCCCCCCAACCCCCCAACTTGTTTTGGACTGCAAACTCCCTGCTCTGTTAAGCCGCGAAAAAAACAAAACGTAACCCCCTTCATACATCACCAAAAACCAGAGTACGAGCCCCGCCCCCTCATACTTCGTTCAAATCCAAGACTCGAGCCCCCCCCAGTCTCCAACACACACAAGGGAGAAAGCACACGAAAACGCTTCAGGTGGATTAGAAGCGAAGAAGACATCATGAATCATGAGTGATTTTGAACCTCTGCAGATGAGGGAGGGGGCTCTGCGCCCCCCAACCCCCCCCTCCCCCCCTCCGCTTATTTTAGACTGCAAGCGTACTTCACCCAAAACCCCCCTTCTTTCATGAATGATGTGGAAACTCTGCAAATGGAAGGGCTGCGCCCCCCCCCCCCCAACCCCCAGCTGTTGTGAGACTGCAAACTTCCTGCTCTCTTAAGCCGCGTTTTCTCCAACACACACAAACGAACAAAAAACAGACGAAAACGCTTCAGGGGGGTTAAAGACGAAGAAAAGAGCATTATGATCATGAGTGATTTGGAGGACTAGGTACTTCACCCAACCCCAGTGATTTGGAGGACTACTTACTTCACCCAACCCCCTCTCTCATGCTTCGCCCAAACCCAAAACTACAAGGCCTCCCTATCATACTTCTTCGCCCATGATTTCCCCCCCCCCCCGACTAGTACCACTGATCGCCTGGAAACGTCTTCTCCCAGACACGCAAAGCAGAAAGCCGCACGAAAACACTTCAGGGGGTTTAAAAGCGAAGAAAAGATCATAATAATCATGAGTGATTTGGAAAGTGATTTGGAAGGTGATTTGGAGGACTACGTACTTCACCCAACCCCAGTGATTTGGAGGACTACATACTTCACCCAACCCCCTCTCTCATACTTCGCCCAGATCCAACACTACAAAGCCCCCCTATCATATTTCACCCATGAGCCCCTCGCCACCCCCCCGAATAGTACCACTAGTCGCCGGGAAAAGTCTTCTCCAAGACACACAAAGGAGAAAGCCACACGAAAACGCATCGGGGGGTTAAAAGCGAAAATAATATTCATGTTGGGTGGTTCTGAAGCTTTGCAAATGGAGGGGGAGGGGGTGGATGCGCTTTTAGACAGCAAACTCCCCGTTCGTTTAAGCCGCGAAGAAATGAACCAAAACGTCCTTTGGGCGTGCTTGAGATATACTAGAATCGCCAAAAGAGAAGGCGTGTGTAAGATGTGAAATTAACCGAAAGCGCCAAATGAGTAAGCGTAATACGACAATACGCTGACCCGGAAAAGCTAAATGAGGGGTGTGCTTAAGATCGCCAACTCAAGGGGTGCGTTTAAGTTACACGGTGTGCTGGAATCGCCCAATGGGAGCGTAATTAAGATATGTGGTGAGGGGCTATGATGACCGGAATCGCAAAATGAGGGCGAAGTGAACCGGAATCGCCAACAAAGAAGGCGTGTTTGTTCAAGATACTTAATTGAGGTTGCGAACAACACCCATATACGTGACCGCATGTCGAGCGCTTCAAACTCTGAAACTTTTCAAACTCGAACTTTCAAACTGTCAAACTCTCGAACTTTCAAGCTCGAAACTCAGCGGACTTTCAAACTTTGCATCTCGACGCGCTTCAAACCTTCAAACTTTGCAAACTTTCAATCTTTCGAACTCTCAAACTCGCGAACTTTCATCCCTTTCAAACTTTCGATCTCTGAAACTTTCAAACCTTCGAACATGAAACCTTTCGAAGTTTGAAACCTTCGAACTTTCAAACTCGTCACCTCAGCCCAAGCCGAAGAGGAAATCTGAAGCCAACCTTTCAAACTCCGAACTTTCGAACTTTCAAACTTTCGAACTTTCTAACTTTCGAGCTTTCAAACTTTCGAACGTTCGAACTTTCAAAGTTTGAAACCGTCGAACCTTCGAATTTGCAAACTTTCAAAGTCTCGAACTCTCAAACTTCGAAGGCCGATCGAACTCGCCCGCGGGAAAAGTTTGAAGTTTGAGTTTCAAGCAGCCAGTCGAGCTCGAAAGTTCGAGAGTTTGAAAGCTTGAAAGTTTGAAAGTTTCGAGTTCGAAAAGTTCGAAGTTTGACCGCGGCTAGCTTGTGCACACCAAGGTGCACAAACTTTCGAACTCCAGCACTTTTCGAACCTTCAAACCTTCAAAGTTTGAAACTTTCAAACTTCAACCTCCAAACTCTCAAACTTTCAAACCTTCGAGTTCGAACGACCTCGCTCGCGACACCATTCCGAAAGATACCACCTGGACCCCCAAAGTATGTAGAATTATCGCGTTTTATAGGTTTTGGGCAATTATTTCATGCACTTTTGGTGGTCTAGGTAGGTGCTCCTTCTGGCAGGAGGAGAACAGGTCCGTCTCTTTTCGTTTCAGGAGAGAAGGAAAAAAATCAAACCCTCAAACCAAAACCCCTTCACCCTAATCCCAGAACCGTAAAACCGCAAAACCCAGAACCGTAAATCCCTAACCCTAACCCTAAAGCCCCAAACACCACCCCAAACCCAATGCTGACTCCCTCCTTCATGCCCGGCACTGACCCGCACTGTGGGGTTCGGAGCTGCGGGACTGCGATTTTGATACTTAAAGGATCATGGGACTTAGTAACTAGGGTTCTTACTAAGGTAACTATACTTATAGTTTCTTTTTTCCCCAATTCAGGTGCCTATAACCATAGTTGCTAAGCTCCATGATCCTCCAAGTAGGGTACTTACTAGCTGGGTTGTAGTTTCGGAGCTCCTAGCATCATTTAGGGTTTAGGGGTTTTGGGGCTCCGGGGCTCTTAAAGGTATTTATGAATAGGGGTTTGGGGTTTCGGGTTTAGGGTTTTGAATGGGTACCTCTGTAGAAACCATAAAGGAAATTGTAACGGTTCCCAAAGTGCCAGCTAGCTAGTTCGAACAGGGTCTGGGGGCATGTTGCAGTACGGCTAGAATAAGGAACCTGAAGGAATAGTGTTGGTAGCAAGTATTTGGGAGTTTCCGAAAACAGGGGAACCCAATATAGCACCCTAAACAGTAGGATCCTTATTATAAGGGCCCTAGAATAAGGTACACCTAGTTTTCTGAAACTCCCGTTTAGGCTTCTAGAGCAAGCACCGTGGCAAAGGAATGGTGTCGCCAAGGAGCCGACGTGCTTCACTGTTTCGCTGGCAACCAAATGCCGCTTGGGGGTTGGGTTTAGGCGAAATTGCACCCTATAGTTAAAGGTATCTTCCTGAACCCCCTGATAAAAGAACATCCCTTCAGTAGCAGCCCTGTATAATGTAATATGATGTGTATTTCGCTTAATGAAGGGAGAACTTGATCTCTGTGTAGAGGGCTTAAGAAGAAGAAAGTCTACTGTTGCACCTGCTCATCCAGGGTTCCATTCTTCCGCATGTAGTCCTCGGTGATCATAATGGCCTCACATGGTGGGTTTGCTGCTGTCGGAATAGGGTTTACAGTTCGTTCACTACTCGTCTGTCCATAATGAAACCCAAATATACGCTCACCAAGAAACTCCCAAATTGGTCCCTAAACCCTAAACCCTAAACCCTAAATTAAAGAGAGAAATTCAGAAAGTAGTGGGAGCCAACTCTCAACCTTAAATAAGCGGACCGAAACCAGCCCAAGTGGCTGAAGACGGAAAAGCATGAGATCCTCAAAACAGCAATGCACACACTTCAGGGTTTGGGGTGTACTGACCGAAATTTTTCGAGCAGATCAAGACACTTTTGATCCTTTCGCCCTGAAACTTTTCTCCTGCACCCAGCAGCTCAACCTATACAACCAAGCTTGGACAATATTCCTCATAACCATTATTACAAGAACAATAACAAGAAAATCGTAGTCATAGTACTCGGAACAGCACTAGTAACAACAACAGAGAGATACCAGTACCAATAACTACGAATTTCTACACTAGTACTGTTAATGGACAAAATCCTGCATTACCCGTGATATGGAATATACCATAGTTCCCATAGCTAGAGTCCTAAGGGTCATGCAGGATTTTGTCCATCAACAGTAGTACATAATGCTCTCGATCTTGAACTTTTCGGCCTTCAACACTAACCGCTGAAGCGCCAAGCTTCTCGAATCAATCCCCGGGGCCTTGATCGCCTTTGAAGTGGGCTCGGCACCCATGCCTTGGGGTCGACAAGCAGACTTCTCAGATAATTGAACTATAACTAAGGCCTGAATAATTAGAATAGGGTTTTGGGGCTCAATATGCTATAAGTATCATAAGGAACCCCCAAAACAGTCTGAATAACTAGAAATAGAACAAGGCCTTAAACCAGTTCCTCTCAGGGCTGATGTTGAATAGTATCAGGACTTCGGGGTTGTATATTCTGCTTGCGCTTCCTTCGGTGTTTGGAGCTTGGGACCCCGGTGGCGAGCCCTGCGGAAAATGAGCGCCACGCAAGCCACCGGCAGAACCTGAGTCCCGGGGGTTGAAGGTTTAGGGTTTAGGGCAGGTTCAGAGTTTCAGAAGCTACACTGAAGCAGCAACCCTTCTAGCGAAGCCAAGAGCCCATGCAGCCAAGACTACACTCAACGCGCCCATGACGTGGGCAGTTGGCCTACATGCAACAAAGAAGCAGAGACAACTGCCTCGGTTTCCTGCTCTCCATGACCATCATGCTTGCTATGCCAGTTATGCATCCCACGCGAATCAAGCATGCCACTGCCAGCAGGTGCATGATCATTATGTGGGATACAACTACTGTCAAAACAACTGACAACCAGGTGCTGCTCCTGTCACAGTGCTTTGGCGTGTCAATTCCGCTGTTTTCACGTTGTGACAGTAGTAGGACGATCATCTTGGGCGTCCCTAAACCCCAAACCCTCCTCCCTAAACCCCTAGACCCCTAAACCCTAAACCCTGAACACTCAACCCCTAAACCCTAAACCCCTAAACCCCGAAACCCCTAAACCCTAAACCCTATATCAACCCCATGTAAACCCTCTCCATGAAGCCTGAAGAAAGACCCAGGGCCGAGGTCACCACCCCCTTGGCCTCCAGGGTGCGACTCATCAGGCCAGCGGCAATGCCCGGGTTCGTGTCTGCACCTCGGGGTTTATACTTCGAGGGGCAGGGGACTTAGTAAGTAGGTTATAAGTAGGGCTAGAAATGTGGCAACTCCATCTAGGGTACTTATAACTCTACCATACTCTACCTATAACCTACTTACTCAGCCCCCTGCCCCTCCAAGTAGTGAAGCCCAGAAAGTTGGAACATGGATTTAGGACGATCGGTGCTGGGATTTCCAAAGCTTTACCTTAAGGGAATGAGGATAATGATGTTCCAACTTTCTGGCTTCAACTGTAAGCTTAAGGGTCCAGGACAAGGGGAGAGGTTTAGGGCTCTTGAGCAGGAGCAAATCCCAGTTCTGTGAATGCGGAAGAAGAATGTAGACTCTACATCAAAAGCCCCCCCCTTTAAAAGGGTCGCCAGGCATCTAAGATCTGAAGGCCTTGGCAACTCAGAACAAGGCTTTGAGGGAAGGTTTTTTGGGACAGATAGTCCCGAAGTTCCAAACTCGAAACCGTGATCTCTACACCAACCCTATACCCTAAACCCTAAACGATCCCTAAACACTTAACCTTAAACAATCCCTAAACCCTTAACCCTAAACAATCCCCAAACCATTAACCCTAAACAATCCCTAAACCCTTAACCCTAAACAATCCCTAAACCCTTAACCCTAAACAATCCCTAAACCCTCAGCAGCAAAGCGAAGAACTCCATCAAGCATTCGGCTGATGTAGACCATCTCGACCTGCGGGTCCTGTCGTCATGGAAATCCAAGGAGACGAGGAGCTTCGGAGGAAGAGGGGTTTAGGCTCTAGGGTTTGGGGTTTAGGGTTGTTGAGGGCCACTGTCGATGTTAGGGCCCTAAACAGCACATAAGCAAAAATACGGATAGGGATATCCCATATAAACCCCCTTTTTGGGGTCTCTGATGTTGTGTAAGAGGAGGTTTGGGTAGGATCCTTTTTGGCAGGCTCTTTTCCATCAGCTGAGTAGCCACCAGAACTCCTCCTACCCTGTTTCTGGGCAAGTTGCATTCTGCCCTCACACCCCCGACCCATTACCGTAATCGGTCCTAGATAATTACCAATACTATTTTGGCGTTTCCTTATTATGAATATAGTTTGAATATAGTATAGTGGGCGCCAGAATGAATCACAAAACCTTATTCTAGTTATTAAGGCCCCTGTAGTACCGTAATCCCAACAGTGTAAACGTAGCAACAGCTCACCTCTGTAGCCAGCCCCAAAGTAGTACGGAGTAATCTCAAAGTACGGAGTGAGTGACTGAGTGAGTCAGTGTCGACCGGTGCGGCCTGCCTCCCACGTCCCTCTCAACATCTCAGGGGGGCTCTGCAAGTGGAGGTAAAACTAGCTCGTGCGGACAGGCCACTTTGTAGAATACTAAGATGCATGTTTCAAAGCCAAGAACGTCCTTGATCAGGGATAGAGCAGGCAGGAGGCCAAGCCAGACGTCACCAACCGATAATACTTATGCTTGTATGCGCCCAAGAACACACCAAGTAACCGGCAGACTCAAAGAGTTCCAAGGGGGCGAACCGTGCGGCCAGTGCCGAGGGAGCGAGGCTCCATGCAAAAAGTGCACACACAAGGCGACCCAAAGGCGCGCGCCATGTGCCGAGGGAACACTGTTCCAGCACCGAGGGCGAGCACGCCACCAATCAGGCACTGTAAATAAACATACACACTACCGCGACAATGAACAGCACAGAGGCGCAGCCCTGGAACAACGCCGATAACAAACGCAGCAATCCAGCGAGCTGTTAATGCATGTGATGAGCGCGGAATACCTCACCTCTACACTGGATGTCCTCAGGCCCATGATGGGGTGGAGACGTCGCCATCGTCGGATCAGTTGCAACAACAGTTAAGCCAGAATACTCGAGGGCAGTGTCGCCCTAACACAAGGGAGGGGGGAAAGGGGGTGCTCATCGGGCAAGAGCCCTTAGTGCCGCCGCCTGGGGTCCACACCTTTCCACAAGAAACCCCTGCCCAAAAGAGCGTGCTAGGCCCGGGGGCAAAGTACGGAGTGCAAACTCTGGACTGCTGCAGTTTTCGCCTATGCACTCGCCCGATACCAACCACGTGTCCACTCAGAAAACACACTATGCAGTTCAACGACATCAGCGAACTCAAGCTACTATTAATATTACCCATACTATTCCGTCCCACAGGCAACTACCTGCACCGCGCCAGCATTCCCCTTCCAACAGACTGCGAGGGTTTGGGGGTTTTGGGGGTTTGCAGTTCACAGTTGTGCAGTCTAGCACAAGAGAGAGAGAGAGAGAGACAGAGAGAGAGAGAGAGACAGAGAAAGAGAGAGACAGAGAGACAGAGAGAGAGAGAGAGAGACAGAGAGAGAGAGACAGAGAGACAGAGAGACAGAGAGACAGAGAGACAGAGAGACAGAGAGACAGAGAGACAGAGAGACAGAGGGACAGAGAGACAGAGAGACAGAGAGACAGAGAGACAGAGAGACAGGGCGAGAGAGAGACAGAGAGACAGAGAGACAGAGAGACAGAGAGACAGAGAGACAGAGAGACAGAGAGACAAAGAGAGAGATTGAGAGACAGAGAGACATAGAGACAGAGAGACAGAGAGACAGAGAGACACAGAGAGACACAGAGAGACACAGAGAGACACAGAGAGACACAGAGAGACACAGAGAGACACAGAGAGACACAGAGAGACACAGAGAAACACAGAGAGACACAGAGAAACACAGAGAGACACAGAGAAACACAGAGAGACACAGAGAAACACAGAGAGACACAGAGAAACACAGAGAGACACAGAGAGAGACAGAGAGAGACAGAGAGAGACAGAGAGAGACAGAGAGAGACAGAGAGAGACAGAGAGAGACAGAGAGAGACAGAGAGAGACGGAGAGAGACAGAGAGAGAGGCTCGTCTAGTGGTGCCTCTTACGGCTACGGCCCAACTCACGTGAGAACTTTGAGAACAACGACTTCTTCAAGGCTGCCGCAATCCACTGTTGTTCTCCTACAGAGCCCAGAACCCCTTAATCAGGGAAGATATGTTAAATCATGAGATTCAGTCCTCTATAACTTAAGATGCTTCCTTGATTACCAATGGATTCAGGAACATCGATCGAGGGTTGAGGAGATTTCACTTGAAGAAACGGTTTAGGGTTTTAGGGTTTAGGGCTTCAGGATTTTAGAGTTTCAGGGGGGCTAGGGTTTATGGGTTTAGGGCTTCAAGAATTTAAAGTTTCAGGGGGGTTAGGGTTTGTGGCAGAGGTCCTTGTCTTCCGGCATCACGGCAGCAATGCGAAGACGCTGCCTGGATTGAGCAGCCATCACCACAGCGTGGATGACTTCACATCCTGACTGCAAACCTGCGAAGCACCGCAGCCCTAAACCCGAAATCTCTGAAACCCAAACCCTAAACCCTCAAAATCTCGGCTACGCATGCTGCAGTATGCACGAGGGCCCCTGCAGCATCGTGGCGTTCGTCCGCCCTGAAGGTGCCAGCCGCTCAGGCAACTTAACCTGCAGTTTCTGCAGGACTCTTGATTTAAGGCTTAGGGCCTTAGGGTTCGGGTTGAGGGTTTAGGGTTTAGGGTTTCATGGCTTTGAGGTGTAGGCCTTGCGATGTCTTTAGCGGTTGTTGCCATGCTTGTGTAAGGATTTACCAATCCTCCTCCGTTGAAAGAAGAACTATTCAGGTCAGCCGCCCTGGCATCGGAGAACCCGATTTTGAAAGATTAAGTTTCCATGTGCTAGCTTTGTGCAGCTATGCTCAGAAGCATTGCTGGTACCAGTTGGAACAGGACCCCTCCTCTTACTTCATCGTCTCGCAGCCAGACCCTAACCCGAAACCCCCAAAGCATAAAACCCCAAAAGGACACAAAAAACAAAAAAAAATAAACCCGAAAGCCCTAAACCCTAAACCCCAAAAAAACAAAACCCTAAACTTGAAAGCCCTAAACTGCCCTAAACCCTAAACCCCCACAAAGCACCCTAAACCCCAAACCCTAAACTTTAAAGCCTAACTTTAAAGCCCTAAACTGCCCTAAACCCTAAACCCCCAAAACCCCTAAACCCTAAACCCGGTCAACATTGCGACGGTT